ACTGGGAGTAATTACCAACTCAACTGTGTGCTGAGGTGGAACTTAACAGTTGAGTATTTTCCAGATAAAAAGCATCCTTGGTTGAAGGTTGTTTTAGGGGTTGGGGTTCCAGTAGTGGTGTTATTGCTACTTGGGGCAGCATATTTAGGGTATATTTATCACAGGAGAAGAGTTGATAGGTCACAGTCAAATATATTGGGTGCACTAAAGAGTTTGCCTGGAACCCCACAAGAGTATAAGTTCAAGGCTTTGAAAAAAGCTACTAACAATTTTGATGAAAAGAATAAGCTTGGGCAAGGGGGATATGGAGTGGTTTACAGAGGTTTTTTAGCTGCTGAGGATAAAGATATTGCAGTCAAGTGGTTTTCAAGGGAAAGTATCAAAGGTCAAGATGATTTCTTGGCTGAACTTACTATCATTAATCGTCTCAGGCATAAACATCTTGTCAAATTGCTTGGTAAGTCTTTTTATTTTTATTTGAATGTAGATATTGGAATGTTTCATATCATGAATTTCATCTGTTTGAAAGAGTAAAGAGTTATGTTATGCATATTTTTAGTGTGATCTTGGTAGTAGGTTCAGCATGACAACATATTAGGTTCAAAAGCAGTTAGGAAAATGGTAGTACTAATAATTGTCCATCGTATAAGATAGTACAAGAGAAGGAGCTTTTGATGGCAACAGCAAAGATTGTGTTCGCACACAGCTTTTAGCTAAACCTTTGAGTCACATCTCCCAGTATTTCCGTTGAAGTGATATAAATTTTGTCACCTTTCTTGGGAAAAAAAAGTAGTCCGGTGCACTAAACTCCCATTATGGGTGAGATTCGTGGAAGGCCGGACCACAAGGGTTTATTGTTCGTAATCTTACCCTGCATTTTTACAAGAGGTTGTTTCCACGGCTCGAATCCATGACCTCCTGGTTACATGACAACAGCTTTACTAATTACGCCAAAACTCCCCTTTACCTTTCTTTAAAAAACAATCACTGATATAAATGTTGTTCACAGGGTCGGAGTTGTATGAAGGGGTTTAATTGAATCCTCTTTGCCGGAGAAGTAAAGTGTGCAAATATGATAAAATTGATCCTTTTTGTATAAAGAAAGTTTACAGTGTAGCGGCAAGGTGGTTCAAAAATGTTTTTAGGATTCTTTCTCCGCCCCTACCATAATTACGTAATAGAGACCGGGACAAAGGAAAGGGGCCTTGTTTTATTGACATTTAGCATTTAGCAATCAGATACAGAATTCTTGTATGCTCTTGATTCTCAATGAAAGAGAGAATTCATTAACAAGGACTCTACTGAGAGAATGGTTCCAAAAACCTTGTAAAAGTTATTGAGATAATTTAAAAGCCAAAGATTGGTGGGGCATCAACTTTAATACTATGTAATGGTAATAGACTGATTAACCGCGTGGCAAGAATCCAGTGGGCACATGCCTTATCTTTTTATGCTTTTCCTTTTCCAGTAACTTTCCACTCAGATATCTGTGAGCTTTCTTTCTATTCGACTAAGTTGTGAAATTTTGATATAGGACTTGTCTTTCTACTCTGACATTTAGCATGCTAGGAATTTACTAAGTTGGATTATCTTCTGAGAAGTAGATTTGCCTGTTTGAAGAATCAAAGCCTTCTTGAACCCTTGTAATTTAACTTGGTCCTCCTTTTGTCTTTAACCTCTTTCCTTTATTGGAATTCTCGAGTCATCCCAACGATTTGTCAAAGCTTCTCCTTGAGGCTCCGGTTATTAGCGTAACCGAAATTTAGTAGCCCGATTAATTGGACTCATGCTGCATTGGATTCACTAAAGTGAGAAACGCTTTCTATCAAGAGTTTTCCATAAGGATGGCTTGAAGCCTAGACTTCCGGTTAAAGATGGAGGAATAATATTCTATCTCTTAATAGTTGATTTCAGCAATATGATAAGTGATAGTTTATGCCATATAACATCATGGAAGTAGGAAAAACTAATGGAATGACTTAAATGTTTTGACCAAAACCAACTTGCTGCTATGTCCCCTCTAATTTAGAACATTGAATCTCCTCATTTGATTTTCTTGAAAGAGAACAAAAAGAAGATGATTATCTTTCGCTGACCATGGAATATGCCCGTAAGCAGCCATTCGTCAAACCATTTTTGTATGCCATATATGTCAATATTTTGAGGAAGCTTCCTTCTTTGTCCTAACATACCTTTCAATGCATTGTCAATGATTGAGACAAGTTTTTGAATGTTAAATAAAGTGATGATAATTATATCCACTGAAAAGGACATCAACTTCGTATTTTAGTACACAATTATCTTCAAACACCTATTCTTTTGTGTCATCTATTCTAGTCATCTGACCCTACAAAGAGATAAAGTTCGTGACTTTCTTTTATAAACTACAGAATAAAGTTGACCATCTGGAATTTTGTTCTCTCTATTTGATGAACTTATACATCTTTGTTACTGAATCAAGTTTTGGCACATCATGAAAAGTGTGACAACCTTTAATAGCATACCATATACAACCATTTAATTGCATGTTATGGTAACAGGATGGTGCCACAAGAATGGAAAGCTACTGCTTGTATATGAATACATGCCTAATGGCAGCCTAGATATGCACCTTTTTTCGGGGCCAGATAAGCAGCCGCTGAGCTGGCATGTCCGCTACAAGATTATGCAAGGTGTTGCCTCATCATTGCACTATCTGCACAATGAGTACGAGCAGAGGGTGGTCCATCGCGATCTAAAGGCAAGTAACATAATGCTCGACTCCCAGTTCAATGCACGCCTTGGGGATTTTGGCCTTGCACGAGCCCTTGACAACGAAAGGACCTCGTATGCTGAGGCCGAGGGAGTGCTTGGCACAATGGGATACATAGCACCAGAATGTTTCCACACCGGGAAAGCCACATCACAATCTGATGTTTACGCATTTGGGGCCGTGTTGTTGGAAGTTGTATGTGGCCAAAGACCTGGAACCAAGGTTAATGGCTTTCAATTCTTTGTTGATTGGGTATGGTACTTGCATCGTGATGGCCGTATCTTAGAAGCTGTTGATCAAAGGCTTGGAGATGACTATGTTGCTGAAGAAGCGAAGAAACTTCTGCTGTTAGGTTTGGCTTGCTCACATCCAATAGCAAGTGAGAGACCTAAAACACAGACAATAGTTCAGATTATATCAGGGTCAGCACCAGCACCAGATGTTCCACCATTTAAGCCAGCATTTGTATGGCCATCTATGATGCCAATGGACATAGATTCTAGTGTTATGGACACAACATCTATTACAACTTCTCACTTCAATTCAGGATGGAGTCTTGACTATCAAAGCAGGGAGACCCCAACATATGCAGACCACCCAAACTCATTGGTGTAGTTACTTTGGTAAAGCAACTTTTACCAAATGGAGAATTGATTTTTTTGGTCGTCTATTTTTTCTTTAATTTATTGTAATTATGTTTTCTGGGGAGGAGGTAAAAATGTGTCTTTCAGTTTTTTACTTTTTTGTTTTGATTTTTTTTTTCAATTTGTTAATGGGGAAGGATGTGAAGATCAGACCAGCCCATGTACATCATTTAACTCAGTAGTATTACAGTATGTCCTATTTACTGCTGCTCTTTAGTTGATATATTGATAATATTGGGATTGATTTAAAACGAGCAACTAACATTTGAAACCAATTGCAAGGTCCAGTATTTCAAGCGCTAAACTAGTTTACATAATACTACTGACTAATATAAGTGCTTGAAGGCCAGGGAGCTACTTCTACAAATTCACCATATTTCTTCATGATCTCAAGATGATGGACAATTTTAATATTTTATCATCCTATAGTATAGTAAGGAATACAGTGAGTCTGTTTGTACTGAACCCCAGAAATATAGTCCTTGTATCACACGGTTTTAACTCTGACAGTGTGAAATAACACAGACCTCACCATCTAAAACCACAGTTCAATACCAAACTAATTGAGTTCTCGAGTTCAGTCGTATGAATCCTATAGATCCATCTCATTCTATAGAGCTCAACAAGGGGAGAAATGCAGATTTGAGATTTGTTTTTCCAGTTACGTACCTTTAGGTTTCTTTTACAAAACAAAGGAATTAACATGTTTTTATCTACAATCGTTCTTCTCCGCCAACTGGAAGAATATTGTCATGGTTCAAAATCCTGAAGAATCCAGATTGTTCACATGCCTTAATCAACTTTGATAATGCCTTGGAAAGTCCTGTGAATCAATCACTGGCACTGAACTTTTTGTCTCCATTTTTGTTTTGGCCCTTTACAGTTAGTAGGGTACTTGGTGTGTGTGATGCTTCTTAAACTAAGGGGTACTTGGACATAAGGTTTTCTTGAAGGGGGGAAACATCCCATGTGAAGTGGATCTCATGGCGAAAAAAAGTCATTATATCATTCTTTGGCCATCTTTTAGACTAAAATTATGTAAAAGAAAATCATGTTGCTACTATTGTTGAACCAAATTGGAATAAACAAAGAGAAAATGAAATGGTGTTGTAGTTGTTGGGCCGAAGGTCTATCGGAAACACCTTCTTTACCTGCACAGGGGTAAGGTCTGCGCACATACTATCCTCCCTGGACTCCACTTGTAGGAATATATACTGGGTATGTTGTTGTTGTTGTTATAAAATGAAATGGTGGGAAATTATCTTCATCGTCTCCAGCTCAAATTTATACATGAAAGCATCTGCTTTAATTGCTTCATGTGACTACAACAATTTCATGTCTTGATACGTACAACTTAAAGATTTGGTTGTGTGTACCATAACTGTCTGTGTAGGTAGAATTTTGGTTAGAAATTTTAGGAAGATATCACGTTACTTCCCTGAGGACTTATATCATATGACAACAACAAATTCGTATCAAATCGTCCTCCCACTTTGACTCCCTTTAACACATGTAATTCACAATTGTGATGGCCAAATCTCTAGCATAATTTGGGTTCTGTAGGTCAAAACACTTCAAAAATAAATTGCACTACTACATACAACTTAAAGAATTCCAAGATTTTACATTGTAAAGATAAGACTTGTTCGATTCTTTTGAAAAGCATTAGATAGCAGTAGAGCACAATATAAAGATGGATCATAGATGCTTAGTTGATATGCATAAATTAGCCAAGGGATACTATGCCATTATATAGGCTATTCTAGTATTAGTTCGCTGACCATTGTAGATGGTATCCCACAAAGGTTTATTTTTTCTTTCCTACTTTCATGCTCATTAATCTAAATCAATATAAAGGAGGCGATGAGATGCTCGCCAAAGTTTTACAAGTTAGTGCGCATAAGATCAAGAGCTTCACCCGCCTGCAACTTCGTTGACAACCGGAGCTTTCTATAATCCTGGAAAGTGAAAGGAACATAGACACGGGGGTGTTCAGCATCCACCAGCTCTGGTGGTGGTTCCACTGCTATTTCTCTTGGTCCCAAGAGGAATGAAGCAATAGACCACCGCGTTTTTGCTTCCTTGCATATCACTCTATGCTTAACAGTGTAAAATCTTCCATTGCTCCATACCTTCACATAGCAAAAGGCAAGTATGCATAAGATTGTTGGAACAAGTCAAATCTTGACAATGAATTAGGTAGAGTAGCAGCCTACTTACCGTGCCTATATCTCCAAGATTCACAAGGAGGGTATTTGGCCAGGGATCAACTGCAACAAATTCACCAGATTTCTTCATAACCTCAAGACCACCAACATTTTCATCATCCTGTAGAATAGTAAGGAACCCCGAGTCTGTGTGTATCTGAACCCCAGAGGAACCTACAGCTTCTGGAGTGAAGTGGTACTTGTTAATCCTAAACTGACTAGGCCAATCTTCGAACGAAACATTTTCCAGTCCCAACCCTTCACTCATTTTTCGCATGATATCCATCATTAGTCCATGTATTGCTGCAGCATACTTCTTGATTGTCTCTCTGTTTACAGTACGAATTAAACAAAATCACAACCACGGATAAAAAGTCTGAAGATTTTGGATTTTGGTTCATTCAATTATAAATTTAGTAACACCTTGCTGAAAAGGTTCTTAAATTTGTGTTCCACTCCTAAGGTATGTGCCCTTTTAATTGTTACTATAAAATTCCTAAGGTATGTGCCCTTTTAATTGTTACTACAAAATTAAGGTCTAGCAAACTTATGTTCTAGGAATTGTTTAATTTTGGCATAATAATAGAGGGGAGATCAATTCAAAAATAGTGAACTGCTCTATCTACATAAACTATATCTTGTTCCAGGAAGGATTAGCTTTTTTTATTAGCTTCACTGATCATCCAAATTCCCCAACTATTAAACTCAAATAAATATTTAGTACCAAAGTCAGTAGTAATATGTGTAAATAACTTCCAGATCCCACTAGCAAGTTGCTAATGGAGCTAATTATTTGATAATTATTGCTAATCACCTTCTTACTTCAACGGTGAGCCTTGAAGCTAGCATTAAAGTTGTCTCCATGTGACCTATAGGTGACAGGTTCGAGCCATGGAAGCAGCCACTGATGCTTGCATTAGGATTGGTTGTTTACCCCATACCCTTTGAGGGTGGCCTTTCCCCGAACCTGGCTAAATGCAGGATGCCTTGTGCACCGAGGCTAGTGCCCAAAGAACTCAACTTTCAAAATCAAGAAACTGAAAAAGTCAATAGTCAAAGGAGGAAGCAAACCTCTGCTGTGGGGTTGCATCTAACTGAGAACAGAAAGCATCAACATCTTCAGGAGAAGACATATCGTAGAGACCCAAAGCCTCATAAAGTGGATTCTTTTCACTAGGGGCCATGTACCCAGATCCAGCTATAACATCCTTATTATGTTTCTTGATTTCAATTGGAAGATCGAACAATGTCCTCACTACTTCCTTCATCTCTGCCATGAGTGAAACTGGAAGTATATTGTCATGGTTCAAAATCCTGAAGCATCCCCATTCTTCACAGACTTTAATCAACTTTGATGATTGCCTTGGAAAGTCCTGTAAATCAATTACTGGCACTGAATATTCAGTCTCCATTTTGCTGATTTTATTTTATCGTGTGGACGGCGGGCGTAACTGTTTTATAGTAATGAACAAGTAAAGACGTGAGGAATTGGGATGCGTTGAATTTTTGAGGAAACACATGTTCGGCCTCTCCGCACGACGGTCGCCACTTTTTTGGACATATTGTAATGGAAACACTTTTAAAACATACGTCACATATGAAATGGATCTCACGGTTATATATCTAAGACGAATCAGTATTTGAAATTAATGGGTTCGGATATGGAATTTTTAACTCCTGTAGCAAAGGTTAACACCTTATTTATTTTGAATAAATACCATTTAAAAAAATTATATTCTATAAATACCTTTTAATGTTTATAGCAAAATATCTAATTTTGGTTACCTCTTACCCCTAAGCCATTAAATATGCTATTCAGTTACACTACTTTCTTTCTCTCTCTACTTTGATACATGTTATTGTCACACCTCCTTTTTACCTACACCCCGGAAAGGGTGTATAAGGGAGTTTTTTCCAACTTAAAGTGGCAATCGAAACAGGATCATTTTTTATTAAAAGATTCAGAGTCGTCACTTGGGATAATTTATGGTGTCCCAAGTCACCGGTTCAAATCCCGAATCGAGGAAAGATTGACTCTGTATTATACCCCGCGAACCAGAAATTCGGGTAAGGAATTCTGTTAACCCGAGAGAAGGTGTTAGGCATTTCCGGATTCCGTGATTCTAGCACGGTCGTTCAACTGTTATAAATGGCTCATTATCTGATTTTAATACATGTTTAAACCTATGTGCATTTTAACTTTATAACCGCTTTATTTATTTTAAGGAAAAATTGCAACGTCATTTAAAATACGTCTTGAACCACGTCACATAAATGCACCCGCAGCTCTCGACATATTTTATCTAACATTGTTGAGATTTGGATTTGGGCCACATAAATGCGCACCCGAGTTTAGGAAGGTAAATTATTAAAATAACGTGCCTAAAGTAACTACGCATTTGCAACTTTGCGAGGGCCATGGAAAATTCGCTAAATGTCACGCCTCGAATTCTAAGGATTAAAATATCAATTAAGCGAGAGGCCATGCATTTCAAGATTTTGTTTGGTGTGGCGCACCTCAAATTATTTTAAGAAAAAAAAGAAAAGAAAAGGTTATATTTCTTAAAGGCAAACTAAAAGTGCTTTTGTTTTAAACTAATTTAAAAACTAATTATCACAATCACGTCACGGGAGTCGTACCCGTAGGTGTAATAATTTTAATTGCTTGCCTAAAAGAAAGCTACGGGGTTCATGAATTCTTTTTCTAAAGCTAATTCGAAAATATTGTGAGGTCATGAGTTGTGGAAGTCAATTGTATCTAACTCATCCTCACAAATCACAGGAAGAGCTATCACTGAAATAATTTTACCATAAAATAACAGTGCGCCTACTTCATGAAAGTTAACAAAACAGTTCACAGTAATTTAAACACACATTGATAATAAATGTCGAAGTTCCACAATGTATAAAGCTAATTGGAATTTAAAATAAAACATCCTATAAGGAAACCTGAAAGGTTATCTTGAAAAACCCACCCTAGCAAAATCTATTTCACCGCCAATTGAAATTATCTAATAAAAAAAGCTTCCTCGATACTGCATAAGGATCCAGAAGTGCATTACCCAGGTAAACTTTTGACTGAAGGCCAAGTTTTATTGAAATGGCATGAAATTGCTTCTTTTTTTTTTTTTTGAATTAAGGACTTTAAGAACAACAGATGGGTGAGTTACATTGCCTAAAGTGAACTCATTGGGTCTAATATCAAACTCAACCATTCTTGAGGAGTTTGTTATTGCTTCCTTGTGCTAATTCAGTCTAGAAAATATGGCTAACCAAAGCTGTAGCAGATACTACGTCACATTTAGACAATTCATCGAACATGAAATATGTACTTTTGCATATAATTAAAAAAAAAACTAGGGAATCCAATTACTACTAAAACTTGAATTTTCTTATTACATTGAACAAATACTAAAAGCTTGAAAAGTAAAAAAAAAAAGATGGAGGGAGAGCACTAAAGGAAATACTTCAACGTACACTTTTAAAGTGTTGTCCAAAAAGCCGAGTAACCATTAACAAGAAAAACAACAAAATTCTTTCTCCTTCTTAATAACATTCAAGAAATCATTGCAAAACTACAATTTGTTACCCACGTATGCTTTATCGACGACAAATTAAGCATAAATTGATTTAGAAACAGAAAGGAGTATAATGTTCTCTTTTAATGTAATTTTCGACCAAGAAGCTCCGATAAAGCAATTAATAATGCTATCTGCCATTTGTTACTCCTTGGTCAATGTAAAGCAGCAAATCCGAGACCAACTATGCTCATATGATGAATAAAGTTTTAGGCAAACAAATTATCATTACAGTACACAGAACCCAAACAACAATAAAAGATGAAGGAAAATAGTCATGACTTTATTAAACCAAATCTGGAAAAATACAGAAGTAAGAGAATATACTTACTTGGACTAAGATTGACCTATTTGTAAGAAAAATCAGTTAGACCAAACCCAAATCCAGATTTGAAACTCTGGATAGCAGACTGGTAGATCCGAACAAAGAGTAACAACAATTGTTCAATCACAGCTTCTTCTTCTTCTTCTTCTTCTTCTTCTTCTTCTTCTTCTTCTTCTTCTTCTTTTTTCGAAAATTTTCTGATTTGAGATCCTTTTTGAACTTCAAAAATTCGTTTTTTTTGCTTTTCTCTGTTTTTTGTTTAGGAAAATGAAACTTGAACGAGGAAACAAACTCTGACCATTTTCGCTTTCGAACTAAGGGTGTCGAATCAGAGAAAAGAAAATCTTAGAAGAAGGAAAAATTTCATAACCTTAGAAATTTTACTACTAAACTTTTCTGAAAATCTATTCCCAATTTTTCTCTCATTTTTCTTCTCCCAGACATCTGAAAGATCCTCTCTTATATAGCATTCAAGAATTCTCGAACCTTCTGCCCTCCTCTCCAAAAAGTTTCCAAATATTCCCTCCGAATCCGAAAAGAACACGAAAAATCTCACATAGAACAAAGCCCGGACAAATGGAAGGCGTGGATGTGATTTCTCGCATCCAACCGCTCCCATTTAACCGAGATTCGTCCCAAGACATCAAAAGCACGTGAGAAAGGGATGAAGCCGAAAATATTCTGTCAGAGACGGTTAAGCCACGTTGGAGAGAGATGAGGAGACCATGTGCGCTCAATTTAGGGAAGAACTCGTCTGAAAACTCAGATGAGTTGGGGACGATTTGGGCGAGTGTAGAATCGGAGATGGAGGGTGGGCGCCGCTTCTGGGGTTTAATTTAGGGTTAGGTTTTGGGGGGAAATGGTATAAGAAGGTTTATATATGAGGGGAAACGGGGCGGGTTTGGGGAAAAAACGGGTCATGGGTTTTGGGGCGGGTCANTAAAAAATAAACCTCAAATGACATGCAAAGTATTTTTATATATATATTTTTTTCATGATTTAAATAAAATAAACATGCACAGACAAATGCAAACGATTAACAAAAAAATCCTATGAAAAATCTAACAAAAATTGCAAATAATGGGAAAAATTTATTTTTTTCTAATTTATGGGAGTAATACATGTAGGGCAACAATCACGTGCTCACAGCTGCCCCTCTTTGCTCGGAAACATGAAGAGTTTTCGTGCAAAGATAAAGTGAGCGGATACGAGTGATTTTTGCCCGTTTGAATTCTCCGTGGGAAGTATTTTTAAAAGATATGACCGCACCCTGCTTCCGAGGTTGCCTACATATCCTTGGATATAAAGGAATGAGGTCAGTGTAGTTCGGGAAGTTTCGGTAGCTAGGACTACCATGAAGCTGTGATTTCGCTGTTGCTGCTGCTGCTACTGCTTACTGACCTCCTTATTACACCATGACAAAGTAAAAGAAGCTAGACTAAACTATGATCTAGGAATTACGAAAGTCCTATCTATATCTTCAAACTTGATCTTGTGATTTCTTGTTGCCTTGTTGACTTGTATTCTCCCGGTGAGGTCCTTTTGTTACCGACTTGAATTGTAATCTGAGATGCTTTCCTTTTTCTTCAGGTGGATACCTGATTGCTGAACTTGAACTGTATTCCCGCGCTCTCCAGCAACGGCGCCAAAAAGTGATCACTACCGACTCGACACTACACTATGATAGGAAGAGCGGGTCGCAATAGCTTTTATCCGAATAGAGGTCCGGGATCGAATTTCCATAGGGAACTAATAGTGGAGTTATATTTTCTGTCTAGCCTAGAGTTGCGGTTGTGCTTCTGATGTCACTTCAAATTTTTTTTGAGTTTTTGTATTTATAACCACTATTATAAAACTAAGTATTAAAGCTAAATTATGCTAGGAGAATATTGTTAAGTTGTAATTAATAGGAAGAAGAGCACTAGGGTCGTAGCATCACCTAGGTGGATAATTGACGGGTAGATGTTACTAAGGATAGATTGACATATTTGGGGATTATGCTGAAACCGTTGCACAATTGCACCCACTCTCACACCTCTCGGTAGAGAGAGTGATTTTTCCCAATTGACTCTCTCGAGACCAATTGGATAGGCCAATGAGACCAAACAACTAGGGTTCAAGTAGGGTGATTACTCTCTCGAGATTTAACCCGTTAATTGGGACTACCATTTCTCATGGGTCCATCCCAATTTCTTGTTGAGTCAATTTTGGGGTCATAGACTCTCTTTCTCAAGAAGAGTTAAACCCACTAAGCTTGAATCAGCGTTTATAACCACCAATTATTGAATAAAAACATAAAATCAACCCAAATAGCAAACACCCAATATCAATCTAACCCTAGATGGCAACACCCATCAATTACCCACACTAGGGTTGAGCCACAACCCTAGCTAATGNCACCCATCAATTACTCACACTAGAGTTAAGCCACAACCTTTTTTTTTATGGCCAACTCTTCCCACTTTTTCTTTTTTTGGCAATCCGCTAGGCAAGTGCCTAGGGCTAGTTTTTATTTATATAAAATATGAAAAAAAACAATAAAGTGCCTTAATGTTCTACGAAATGTAAAGAATAAACCTTGGAGATTACATGTACCCTATTATCAAAGTTGAGTAGTGTACTCAAAGTTGATATCACAACAACACTACTAAAAATTGTATAATAAAAAACTAGTCCATGAATGGATCCGTGATTCATTTAAAGTCCATTCCATTTGTGTGGCGTTGCAGCCCATATCTGGTGGGCCAATTAGATTCACCTATTTCCATTGCATTGAAGCCCAAGTTTGTCTTCTTACTTCGAATTGGCCCTTTTGTCAAATGTAACACCATTGCATAGGCGTGCATTTGTTCTGTCGCGGATTTTGCAATAACTTAGCATCTTGTAACGTTTAAATTTTCAAGAGACACAGGCTGCCCAAAGCATAGTCCCTCCAGGCGTGCATGTGCTGCTTTGCACGTTACCATGTGTGCATGTGCACCATTAATCTTTTGACCCAGGCATGCCCAATTGAGGTCCTCATTGAAAAGAGCTACTGCATTTGGTGCAGGCGTGCACTTTGTGCAATATTTTAATTCCCATACCTCTTGGAAACTCCCTTTTCACTCCTATGGAGACAAACATCTCGAGTTGTGTATACAAAGCAACGTGAAAGTTGTTCACGCGTGAGTTGTGATCCGTATTCCTCGAAAATGAAAGTTGTTCACGCGTGAACTTTGTGATCAGTGAATTACTTTTAGGATTCCCCATGTGCATGCCTTCCTATTCTATCGAAGAACAGCTCCCCATTTGTGTCAGATGGAGAAAAAAGTGAAAACTTGCATTGAGCAGCTGCATTTTTCCATTTGTTGACTGAAGCCTCCATGCCTCTACGCTCCAGCACGTCTTTAGAGACAAGCGTGCCCAACAGTACTGTTCCAAGAAGCATGTGTCGAATAAACAACAACATGCTTGACAATAAAGCTGTCCATAGGAAGTGCTCCTTGATACTTTAGGCCAATGGAGGTCAAAGTTAAACCCTTGATAATTGCACCACGCCTGAGTTACTTTTGTTTCTATCGAGTCTGATTCCTCGATTTTTTCCTATTGCTTATATTTTATTCTGCATAATGAGCATGCTTGTGTCTACCTTCAGCTTTCTGTCCGAAAAATGAGTGTACAGCACTAACACTACCAACTTTGAGTCCGCAAGAAAATAGGGCTTTAACACATAATGTGTACCTGCAAGAAAGTAAACAATGTTAGCTTTAAAATTTCTTACCAAACTCTCCTCAAGAATGATTCGAGTATGGTAGAGAATTGTATCCTCTTTTCCTCCTAATTCCTTGCAACCTTTACTCTTATGTAGGGACATTTCATCTTATCTTCATTAATAATCCTCCTTTCTTTTGAGTCCATATCCCAGAAACCATGACATTCAATATTTCCTTCATCTAGAGCATAATTAGCAAGGTGATCTGCTAGTGTATTCCCTTCTCTGAATATGTGTGTGACCTTGAAGATACTTTGTTCCTTCAATCTTAAAATCTCCTCTACATGATCAGTAATACACCAAGGAGGCTTCCATGATTCCTCTAAAATGTTCTTTAGTAGTAGGGAATCTGTCTGCAGCCATATCTGAAAATAATTAAGATTTTTGCACATCTTCAATGCCTCCACAATAGCTACTGCTTCTGATTCATTATTGGTTCCTTCATAAATCTCCCTTCCTTCTGCGTATATCAAATCACCAACCTCATCCCTTATGCAGAAACCAATTGAACTCCTCTCTGGGTTCCCTCTACATGCTCCATCCGTATTTACTTTGATCCACCCTCTTGGAGGAAATTCCCATAACACTTTTTCATATTTCAATCGAGGTGTGTATTGCTCCATCATTGTCAGTAAGTCCAGCCACTTGTGAGGTACATGCAGTCCAGGCTTTTTCAATTGGACTAGAGCTTGCAGAGTAGATGACACCTGGTAAATAACTCTGCTCACTGACACTGCTTCTCCATATTTCAAACTGTTTCTTCTCTTCCAAAGTTCCCATACAATGCATGCAGGTAAAGCTTGTAAGACTGGCTTCAATCTGGGAATAACTGGTGTTATCCAACACTTTGTAATTGCTTGTTGTAATGATAACCCTTCTAATGCAATTCCTGCTCTCCTTAGGAAGTAATTCCAAACACTCCTAGCTGCATTGGATGTGAAGAACAAATGTACTAATGACTCCTTCTTAGGATCAACATAGCACCAACATTTAGATGGCATAGAGTATCCTATTTTACGCAAGAAATCATCAAGTGGCAGTTTGGCTTTCCACACCTTCCACAGGAAGAAGGATATCTTGAAAGGTAATCCTTTAACCCATATCATCCTGTAAGCTAATCTTGGGTTGTCTCTTCTTCGTAGGTAATCCCATGCAGACTTCACTGAAAAATGACCTCTTGTTTCAAGCATCTAGAATGGTGTATCTAACTCTGCACATTCGTTTGGTGGTCTAATATACTGCACAATGTGGTTTGCCAAATATTCAGGTAGAGTCTGAAATAATTTTTCCAAGTTCCACATACCATTTTCAACCAGGTCATTGACATTGTGAATATCGTCATTGATACCAAACTCTGCAGGCACTTGGAAATATAAGGCTCCCAGCTCAGTCCAATTGTCGAACCAGAATTGAGCTGATCCCATTCTCGGTTTCCAGTAGATTTGATGCTCAATCAAGTCCCTACATTCTAGTTTTTTTCTCCACACGTTGGATCCACGCTTCCAAGGTACAATTATTTAGTTTCTTGCAGTACTTTTGACTAATAAATGCACTCCATAAACTGGGCTTTGTCCTGAAATTTCACCACAATTTACAGAATAGTGCCTTGGATACATCATGTAGGGACCTGAAGCCTATGCCTCCCTCCTCATAAGGCATACAAAGGTTAGTCCACGATGACCAATGTCTAGAGTTGCCTTCCACATTGCTGCTCCAGAAGAATTTGGCAAAAATGCTATGTCATTTATTGATCACATAAATTGGTGGATTAACTGCTGACATATGAATTGGGATACTCTGCATGACATTTGCGATCAATACAGCTCTTCCTACAAATAGGAGTTTGCCTTTCCACGACTGCAGTTTGTCCATGACCTTAGTGATTAATCCTTGGTAATAGTCACTCCTTCTTCTTGCATAAAAATAGGGTAGCCAAGATAGGTCATAGGGTAACATTGTCTTCCTATACCTGTAATCCTTTCAACCTTGTTAATCACCTCATTATCCGTTAATTAATGCAGGTATATGGCAGATTTGGCTTTGTTCACCAGTTGACCAGACGATGATTAATAAGCTTGCAAAA